CCTGTTGTACAGTATATACTGTAAACCTGAAGTGATATGCAACAATTTTTTATGTATTTTACCTTGCCAGTGGCGATTTTCTGCAAGCTCCTGAACAGCCTGTAGTCTGATGGCTTTATTGGCTGACATTGTCCTTTTCAGTAAGACCCATAATGCCACTTCATGTGGGTCTGCATCGACATGGCTGAAGTGCTCTGAGACATACAAATACAGAGCGCACTGACTGGCTGAAGATTTACAAAACAACGTGGGTAAAGGGTGCTATAAATATTCCTAAAGGCACAGTGAAATTGAGTGTTAACTGTCTCTACAGTGACTAACTACCAGTATCTACAGGACCACTCTCATATTTTTACAGCAGCTAGGAAGTTACAAACCTTGTGGTTTCAAACCTTGTGTCATCAACTTGGCAGCTATTCATTTTTAAAAAGTCAAAAGTAATTTCATTAGATGTCTTACTGCAGTATAATTTAATTTTAAAGATATCGCATATTTCCATAATTGTAGACAATACTGCATTTACAATACAAAGTCATTAGTAATAAAAACAAAGCTAACATAACAATATGCACAAACTGACGCATTCAAAACAGGACGTGCATGTAGAAGGCAGGTGTTTCCTTTAGCCTTAATGTGCACATGACACATACATATGAGTGGACAGCTGTAGTTTTGTGAGAAAAAAAAAATATGTGTGCCTCTATTAGGACTCACTTAGAAACATGAGTTTCAGTATAATGACAACTTTTAGTTTCTTACCGTCTAGTGATCGCAGCAAAACCCTGGATGATATTTCCAGAAACCGTCTTGCAGCTTTATGAAGTTCCTTCCTTGCTTTATATGTGAGCCCTAGACACAATTTAGAAGTTAGTACAATGACCTAGAAAATCTGATTTTAATTTCAGTAAAAAAAAAAAATAAGATAGTGAAACCCCTTAGTACTAGTTGCTATTTGGTATCTAGGTGGAGGTTGGTAGGTGATTGTTTCCATAAAATAAGAGAACCTTGACCAATGGAAGTGAGATCAGTCAACAAACTGACCCAGATGTTCAGGCAGGAAAGACAGTAGAGAGGGTAGGGAAGGAAAGACAGGAAGTAATGATGGCAGACGTCACTGGGCGTGACGTGTGTCCAGATATTGTTTAGCTCGTCTGGGAAGTCCAAAAACAAAACATGTAAACTAAAATGAAATCTCTAAATGGTCTCTAATTTTTTCAGTTTTGTAAGGTGTTATAAAGGTTCGGTGTGTAGGATTTAAGGGGATATATTGGCAGAAATACAATATAAAATAATAAGTATGTTTTATTAAATGTAGAATAACCTGAAAATAGGAATTGTTCTGTTTTTATTATCTTAGAATAAGCCAATTATATCTACATAGGGAGCTGGTGCTTGTCCATGGAGATTGTCATGTTGCACCATGATATTTCTACAATAGCCCAGAAAGGAAAAACCAAACACAAGTTCTAGATAGGGCCATTCACATTTTTGCATCAGCCACTGTAGTTCGCAGCCTCTCCGTGACAAGAGCATGAGAAAGACAGTTTTTTAAACATGAAACTGCTTCATTCAGTGTTTTAACCAGCCTGAATTATCGGGCTCCCTGTTAAAACCTCCTGTACATCTGAATTAGAAATAGGGTGAGCACACTTTAGGTTATCAGAGAAAGTAGGTGAGCGCACATTAGCAGGTGCTGGTCTAAGGGCCTGCCTGTGACGTGCCAAACAGCATAGGAAAAACACTGATTTGTAAGGTGAATCTGCTTTATTCAGTGTTTTTACCGGTTTTACTCACCTTCTCTGTTTGTTTAGAGAGGAGGAGACTTCTGCGGATAATACGGCTAACCTGAACACTGAGGGAATTCAAACCTGGAGAAGTTTCAGCTGGTTGCAATCTGCAATCCTCACTGCTAGATGCCACTAAATTCCCCTAAATTTTACAAACTGTAGCTTTGTGAAGGTGAAACACTGCTTAGATGTAATTGTGCTGAAATCTTTTCTACCAGTCTGGACTTGATGTTTCCAGCACTTTGCTAAGACCAAGCTGCATGGAGCAGACACTGTTCCTTTAAATGGACACATGATGAGTTTCCAGTTTAGACATAAGGTCCAGGCTAATGACTTTCAGTACCTGCAGTAAGGTTCTCCTTTTCATCTGAGGGAGTGGCTCTCAGATAGACGTAAGACTTGTACTTCTCCTGAAGAATTGCACTAGTGTCAATGGTCACAGCCTTGTTCAACGCCACCACTTCATATGTGATAAAAAGACAGCCCCTGTAGATAGGCAATGGATAAGGTGTGACACATAGATAGTTGTTTTTACACAAGATTTTCATTGAAGTCAAGGATTAAAATCTGTATGTAGATACTATAACTTACCCAGAGACAACTGCACCAGTTACTTTAGCAAACTTCCCTAAATAAAGAATAAATCTATATTAGGTCAGGGTTGGAAGCTGTACTCACAAAAGCATCAAGGTTGAAGCCAGAGTACTTGTGAGATTGCTGACAAAAGTTGTGTACACATAAGCCAATTAGGTCTGCTTAATAACTTACTTAAATCTTTCCACTGAAGCACTTTCCTCACTCCAGGTGGCCCAGTTGTGCTCAGTCTCCGACAGCGGATCAAACGTAGGGCTGCACCGGACATCCTCCGCCTGCAGGTCACCCCCAGCGTGAGGATAAGTTAATCAAACCACCACAAAGGACTAATCATCTATTCCACCCCGGGCCTACCTCATACTAGAAACTTACATCATAGAATCAGACGTGTGGACACTGACACTTTTGCTTAAGCTAGGTTAATTTAAAGCAACAAGAAAACAAACGGTTTACCTGAAGCAAAATTGCTGTGTTAAGTTAGCGATCCAGCATCAAGGCTCCACTGACTAAACAGCTGACATTATCAACAATAAACCAACGTGTGTCAGTAATTAACGCCAAATCTAATCAAATAACTAATGTAACGTTAAGTTAGTAAAGCCATTAAATCATTCACAAGTCCTCTAACGCAAGCTAACGTTAGCTAACTTGGGATAAGGAAGGCAGCTGCGGCTGTCACCTCTCCTGTCAGTCAGTCTAACCCATCATTCAGATTAATGTTACACTAAAGCAAGCTGACATTGATAACGCTAACGTTAGCATAAACACAAGTTAAACTGTAACAACGGGTCAAGCTAACTTAACCGTTAGCTAACACTAACTTGCTCCAGGTTTAGCTTTTAGCTAACGTTTTACTCTTAGAGCTGTCCGACAGTTTAAGTTGCTAACTGTTAGCTACCTAACTGACCGATTACAGTACCTTTTCCGTGCTGGTTTAATTTAAGTGTTAAACACTGATATTACCTTATTCACCGACTGATGAGCTTTACAAAGATCACCGTGATGTACTCCACGACTGCAGCGCCCGGTGTTCATAAACACAACAAAACGCGGCTCACAAATAACACGTCATCTTCCGCAACTGACGCGGTCAGGAGAAAACAAAAACAACAAAAAATACTGCTGGCCAAGTTTTATATCCATAAAAGTAAGGTATTAAAAATCAAACCCTCTTTTTTGTACCTTTAAAAAGGCAGCAGAATCCTACATCAAGACTTTATACACCTCAAGTTTAAGATTCTATGTTAATTTATTTTTGGTATAATTTTATTGCATATCTTTTATTTATCTGTATCACAAGTTGTTTGTAACCCCTGGCATTGTCTGTCTATCTCTTTCTTGTTCCTTATTCTCTGATCTTCCATTATGCTCTCTCATACTTTTGTCTCTATGTTCACAAGGATATGTGAAATAATGAATATAAAAATATATTCAAACAACAACCAAACCTTTTTTAAAATACAAAAAAGAGACTAAACGCATGCAGTGTGGGGCGTGATAGTTTGCTTGTAGCATTATAAGAACACTTTTTATTTACTTAACATGCAAAAAAAAAAAAAAGAAAACCCATGGGGGTGGTTGGGTGTCTTCCTCAAACTCCTCTACCAGAGGCCTGGGAGTCTCAGATGTTGTACTTAGAATCTGCTAGAGCCACTCTCCCAGTTTGGGGTCACAGCCCCCAGTGCTCCCACCACTGGGATCACTGTTACCTTAACTCCCCATATCTTTTCTAGCTCCTCTTTCAGTCCTTGGTATTTTTCAAGCTTATCATGTTCCTTCTTCCTGATGTTGCTCTCGCTCAGAATTGCTACATCTATCCCCACTGCCTCGTTCTGTTGTTTGTCGATCAACAAGATTTGCGGTTGGTTAGCTATCACCAGTTTGCCAATCTGGATCTGGAAGTCCCACAGGATCTTAGCTTGATCATTCTCCACCACCTTAGGGGGTGTCTTCCATTCTGACCTTGAGACTTCCAGGGTACTCAGTGCAGATGTTCCTGTACACTATGCCAGCCACTTGGTTATGGCGTTCCATGTACGCGCTTCCTGCCTGCATCTAACACCCTGCTGTTATGTGCTGAACTGTCTCAGGAGCATCTTTGCACAGTCTGCACCTGGGGTCTTATCTGGTCTTCTGTACCAAACACTACTGTAGTTTTTTAAGTTCCCTCATCAGGAAACAGTTGTCAGACTGGACATAAAAATAATCCATCTGCTCAGATTGTGTGGAAAGAATAATGCAGTCCATTGTAACAATTATGCAACAAATACAAACTATTGCAAAGATCACAGTGTTAATATGTTGATGCCAGTGGTACTGACTGATTGACATGAGGCTGTAGTCTGTGGTGAAGTTGCATTAGATGTGTGTTCTATTGGGAGTTTTTTAATAATGTAGTTCCCTTGTGGTTCTCACCAATGGACAACATCACAGTCTTGAAATATTATCAATATTTGTCTAACGCTGTCCAGAAAATGAAATTTTAGAAACTTCTCTAAGGTAGTTTTTGGTTACAGTATTCTAAAGGTTTTCATGTTATGTCCCTAAGATCAGGGCAGTGCTTTGTTTGTTCTTGCAAACACCCAGACCACATGTTTTGTATTTAAAACAACTTTGTAATGCTTTGGTTTCCAGCTTTTATTACATTAACTTATAAGCAAAGTTCAGTAAATTACATTCAAAGATAAAATACAAAAACTTATGACATCTAATGCCCAACTTTCTTTGTCTCTCTAGCACATACAATAAAATACATGCAAACACAGACACACTGAATTACGTTAAATGCCACACTCACCCATCTGCCACAACTCTGTAAAAAAACATTTGTGAGGCAGCAATTAAAACATCAAATGAGTTTAAAGCTGTCTTCACCACGTTTTGCATAGATGTGTTGTTGACACATTTTAGTAAAGTTAACACACAAACATCCACCCTTCCCTTGGGGTACACTTCATTCTCTCTGTTGCATAGATATTAGATAATCAGCAGGGGCAAAGGAGACATCTTGCCTTGCAGCATTGCCCCGTCGCCAGTATGTATTTGTAAATTTTAGCCATAAAAAACAAAAACATAGATTCTCTGCAAGCATACATGAGTGTCAATCATCACTAAATACAGACTGCTAATTTTCAAGAGGAATAATTTTTGTTCATAAGCAGCTGTTTCCACAACGCTTAGAGTATTACCTGACTCTTCTAAATAAATACTCTACAGCAGTATTGAATGATGAAAGGCAAGTATGCTTATGTCAACACCAGATATATATTAACAAACCAAAAAACATACAAGACTGATTGTTGTTTCAGAGTGTTATTGTGTTGAGCAGCGCACAGAATTGACCTTCATGTCCTTCGTTGCTCCACTCAGCTTCACCTGGTCATATAAATCAATATAGATTTAGTCCAATATAATTTGTTAATCCATTTACATCTATGGGCTCATGTAGCTGTCGTCAGCCTGGTGCTCCCACTCCTCTCAGGTGCACGTTTCCTGATAAGCCCTAATAATGCTTTCATAAGCTGGAGGTGGGGTCTGTGTAGCATGGAAACCTCTCAGGCCATTGTTCCCCCAAAATGACTCAGGTCTGGGTGGGGTGGCAGCTGACTGGGCTGCTGTTTGGGCTGATCCAGCTGACGTGGTCAGAGTCGGCGTACGAGGCAACGTGGTCTGGCTCCCCTCCTCTGCTTCCCTCGCGATTTGGCTACACTGAAGTAGAGGGTGGAAGGTTGAGGCCCTGAAGCTGGATTTGTGCCCCAGCGGGTCGAGGTGATCTGGGGAGGAAGTCTGGCGGTGGAAGCTGAAAGCAGCGCTGACCAAACTGTTGTTGCTGCGCCGGTCATAGCTGCTGTTGCGGTTGAAACCTGGGCGGTTGCGGGAAGACGCGCGCGAGTGGCGGGGAGGGCGGCGGGTGATGCTGGCAGAGCCTGCTCTGCGTCTGGACATCCAGGTCAAGAGCACGTATACCAAGGCCCCCAAGACGAGGCCCACCGCCATGGACACACAGAAAGCTATGATCAGAGGGACTGTAAAAAGAAACACACATGAAAAGGGATATTTTATCTTCTGTGATAGATACCCTCTTTATTCTTGGTTTCTACTTAATTTGTTTTTTATCTTTTCTGCCTCATTAACGTATTTACTTTTCAGGTTCACCGTGAGGGAGAAGAGTTTAATAATAGCTATGCACATGCAACACATCTAAATGAACTTTATCTTAAACAACAGTCTTTTTTATTCTCCCCTGGGAATAGAAGGAATTTTAATTAGAATCGATGCCTTTACAGAGATTACAAAAACATCTGTTTGTCACAAATGGAGGATTGCCAACAGTGTCTTGCAAGATGGTGCCCCTTGACAAAATAATAATAGGCTTTCCTCTTTCATGTTTACTGGAGCAAGTACTTTGGAGACAACAAACTGATTGCATTTCATTCCTACAAAAAAAGGCACAGACTTTTCGGTCATTGCCTCTCTGCCTTGGAAGCAGTAGTGCCCACATAAGCGTGCTTTGGGAGAAGAGAGAGAATGCAGAGGCTAAGACAAATCCTTTGGACCAATGCCAGGGAAAACAAATCAATTTCCTTTCAATATAGTTAAGCATTAAACAGACTGAACCCACTTTGCTACCAGCCCATATTTCCACAGCAGCTTTTTTCACCAACTTTTGGAAAAAGGAAAGGAGACGCTGGTCAAAAGTCATCTGGAAATGACATTTGGGAAAATGGAGGAAAAAACACTAAGAAAACATGTCAGGACCTTATAGACTTGGAGTCACAATAGGTTTCTTTCTATTTTGTTTAATGAGCTTCATAAAGAATCGGGCGCACATATTGTATCGATCTCAGAGGTGATTAAAGCTTGAATTCCTGAGAGAACAACAGTGCCAATCAGAGAAACCACATGAAAAAGACCAACTAAAAGAGAAGGGAAGTTAGAAAAAAAACTCACCAGCATCAAAAGACTGAAGTATTTCCAGAAAGAGATTTGTGTTGTTCTCGGCCATGACTTCGAGGAGAAGAAGAGAGACTTAGTTCAGTCTGTCTTTTACTCTCTCTTCTTCTCCCTTCTCCTCCTCTTCTGTCAATTCTTGTCCGTCTCTCTTTTCCTCTGATGGGTTTTCCTGTCCTTCTGCCTCCCCTCTTTCCTGTTCTCTCACTTTCCCACTCTGTCGTCCCTTGCTCACTTTCTCTGTCAGTGTGTCTGTCTCCCTCAGAGGGAGACTCAGCCCAGAGGCGCACAGGACTGGCGGCTAACTCTGGCAGTCGTCTTGTTTATGGAAGCGGAAAACTACACTGTCACATTTCCTGCTTTTCTGCTTGAAATTAGCAACAGGAGTGGCTTATCTATCCAGGACAGAGATCCTGGAGGTGGGGAGACGGAGTGTTGCTATAATCACTTCCTCTCCCATCATTTCCTTCAGGTTGATTAATGTAAAATGGCATCACCCTAGTGCCATAAGACTCAGCACTTTAGCTTTCACCATAGGAAAGTCCACCACACTTACCAATGTTTTTGTTCCTTTCAGAAGTGATAAAAATTTCAATCTCTCTCATGTTTCTCCCCTTTCACTACAGAGACCACAGTTTTGCCGTAAGCTGCACCAGCAGTTGCAGGCCTGAAATGGGTGCTGAAGGCAAAACCATAGCTGTAATTGATGGTGGCAATATTGTAAGTGCTTTTAATACTAAGTTGTAATGATTAAAAAAAATGCTATTCTAGTGTATTTTTAAACAGACTCTGTGGATATCTGCCTGTTCTTGTTTCCACCGTCTTTGTTAGTAAGCTCAGTCTTTCCACAGCGTCTGCCAGGTCAGCAGTGCCTGCATTGGACGTCTGGTCCTTTCCCACTTGGAGAGATCCAGTAAAAACACTGTAGTTTGATAAGATAGAAAAGCAGCACAGCTACTCTTTCAACATGCCAACAATTTCTTTTTTACTTTCACAAATCTGTTACTTGTGTTACTCATTTCTTGATCCCACAGTCAGCATTGTTTTAATCCTCTCCAAGCCAAATCTGCAAGCTCATCATTACAGTCAGAGGGAAGGATGCGAGTAGTCATATTGGTATGCATCTAATGTAGACCAGCTCCATTTGCCCCATCAGTTTTGGATTTTACTCTAGCGTTGATCATGAACCATCGTTCACCTTTCAATTCAACCTCAACATTAATAAAGTCCAGTGATGAAATTAATCTAAGTACTTTTACTCAAGTACTGTACTGAAGTGCAATTTTGAGGTACCTGTACTTGAGTACTTATATTTTATGGTACTTTCTACTTCTGCTCCTCAACATTCATGGGGTAAATATTTTACTTTTTATGCCTCTGCCCCAGCGATAGCAGTGGCCGAAGGCATTATATTTTTGGGTTGTCCATCCGTCCATCCCATTCTCGTGAACACAATATCTAAACAACACCTCAAGGGAATTTCTTCAAATTTGGCTCAGACGTCCACTTGGACTCAAAGATTAACTGGTTAGATTTTGGTGGTCAAAGGTTACAGTCACTGTGGTCTTGTTTGTCTTATTCTTATTAACATGGTATCTGAAGAAAACCTTGAGGGAATTTCTGACCTTGCAAAACATGTTTTTGGCCATAACTCAAGAATTCATATGCTGATGACAAAATTTCAGTCTTAGGTCAGAGATCAACTTCACTACGACACCATAATGTTCTGCAAAAGCACTTTTCTGGCCATTTTCAATGCTATATCTCTGTAACAAAATGGGAGACATTTGATCAGATACTGAACTGATGACTCTAATCTTGGGTGCCCACCTTGAAACTGCAGTGATTCTGTTGATGGTGGGATTCTTTGCTACTGGTGGGAAGATGTGTGTGAAGCATCCATGTTTTTAGAATATGTAGCTTTTGCAGCAACATCCATATTTCATTCCATTCATAAGCATTATCAACTATCATAGCCACATATGAGTCTGGACAGATGTGGATGTAACTCTGACTAGCTCGGTGAGGCATACAACCTCAAGGCGGTAACTCTAGTTTATCTACTACATTTATTTTGAATCATTAGTAAAAAGTTACGCAGTTTATATGTATATTTTATCAATAATCTCAATATTTTTAAAGGTTAAACCACCCAGCAGTATATAGAGCAGGGTAAAATGTTTAACCTTTACCAGCTAGCATTTATGTAATGAATACATGAATGCATCAATAATTATAATTCAATAATATCATATATATATTATGAAATGGGCCATCATTTATAAGGAGTACTTTTACTTTTGAAACTTGAAGTATATTTTGATGATCATACTTTTGGTACTTTTGCTTAAAGAACTGCTTCACCCACAAAATGACCATTTGTAAATCAAATAATCCCATTGTGTTACCTTGAATCTTTTTTTTAAGAAATTTTCATTTTTCTAGCATGCTTCCACAGAAAATGGCAACATATTGATTTATATATTGATTGGGGAGCGTATTTAACAACTAGATTAAAACATTTACAAACTCTCTCACAGTTTGTGCAGATTGAGTGAAAATGCATGTGTTTGGGAAGCACTGAGCGTGTGTCTGGATAAAAGAGACTTGGATTATACTGCAGGAGTTGTGTGAGAGTTAATAAACAGATGTTTTAATAGAGTTTTGCTGTTGTTAATTGCGGTTTCCTATCAATCAGTAAATCAATATGTTGCCGTTTTCAGTGGAGGCATTTGAGAAAAGTTTTCTTCACAAATTCAAGGTAACACTACATGATTAATTGATATACAAATGGTCCTTGTCCTTTAAGTAAGTATGAAATTCAGGACTTTTACTTGCAACAGAGTATTTTAACACTCTAGTATTACTACTTTTTCTTAAGTAAAAGATGTGAATACTTTGTCCGTCACTGATCAAGTCAAGCTGTTAAACCTTGTCAGTGGGGTGAAGAATTCTCAGATTTTCAGACAAAATCTATGTGAGTGTATTATAATAAAAAGTTGACCACCTTCAGTCTTATTACTACCAAGTAAAGAGAGAGAATAGCCTGGCCAAAGCCTGCACTTCCTTTAATTGTCGGCTGCATTGTAAAACCTGTCGAAAATAACCAGCAAACACCCTTAACACACTGCGAAATAGAATGTGTAGCCTTTGTGTTCTGTCGTAGAGTAATTGGAGTGTAATGGGCTCATAGGTGGAGGAGCTATTCTCTGAGCTAGTTCATGGCCTTATCAAAATGTCATAGGGCAGAGTGGTGGCAAATTACAGCGTGTAGTCCTTAAGATCTTAGCTTTCTGTAAGGATGTCAAACTTAAAGGCAGCAATGAAGGTTGTACTATATTAGTGCTTTGTTATTAAAATATACAGAACAGTTTCTAAATTTGTTGATATGATGAATCGGTATCGTATTAGTCTCCTCAACAGCAGCCTTATCAATTTGGCCATAACTCAAGAATTCATATGCTTATGACAAAATTTTACACAAGTCCAATAGAATAAAATTATGAAGTGATGACATTTTATATCTTAAGGTCAACTTCACTGTGACTTTTCTGGTCATTTTTAATGCTATATCTCAGTAACAAAAGGGAGATGTTTGGTTAGATACTTAATCTGTAACACTAATTTTGGGTGTCAGCCTTGAAACTGTGATGACCCGATAGATCTTCTGTGCTGCCGGGGGGAAGATGTGTGTGAAGCCTCTTGAAATATATAGCTTCTTTGCAGCAACATCCATATTTGAAGCATTGTAAACTGTCATTGCTTCATATGAGTCTGGACAGACTTTAATGTAAACTGTAACTACAGCTTGACTGGTTCACAGAGGCATACAATCACAAGGCGGTAATTCCAGTTTACAAATAAGATAACACCACTCTGGCCAGTAATATTTGGATTTCCAGAGGCTGAGCCAACCACCAGGGACTGACAAGTCCCCACTGTTTTCCCTTTATTCCCTCTTTGACCAGTAGATGGAGTGATACTCCAGGATAATTTCTAGTAGCAGCTCATCTCTTCATGTGTCCTGCATCAGAGAGCAGGTCCACCCCCAACCTGTCTATTAAACATGCTGACTTGCCTGTTTTAAATAGTCCGAATGAAAAAAAACATCCAGGTTAGCAGACAAACATGAATTCACAGAAATAGTGTAGGAGCTGAGGTAAGGTCTCATATTTTATCATGCAAACTGCTCTTTTTAATGTGTGTTACAGTGTGTTTGCTGGGCAATACATACAGACTACTATATTGCATACATGCACAGCATCATACGTTATACATATATATTACGTACATAGTGCAGTGAGGAATGAGGAAATTAATTAGATACTCCTCAATGAGGAATAGATGTAAGGCAGTGATTTGATGTATAGTTTTAGCGATATTTAGGAAAACTTGAAGCCTTTTTTTAAAAGATGTTGCAAATTAAATCCATATCTTTCTTAAGCCTTATAACCCTGGTATACATTTGGCTACAGACATCAGTAAAACTCATTTAACATCATTTGTAAGTCTAAAAGATTTGCTCCCAGTGTTTAAGGAAAAATCAATACTAGTTTAAATGGCTTGTATAAACAGCTTATTTGCAGTACATAAAATACAGTTACTAAACAGTATTTCCCTCTTTGGCATTGTTGTCTACCCGCATGTCAAAATCAACACAAACTTTCTAATGAGATTTTAGAAAACTGCTGACTATCCATGAAAGAGATTACCACACGGGCGGTCTTGGTCCCAGCTCTCTGCCTGTACAATGATTAGATAAGAAACAGATTTTAATGGGGAAGGGTCTGACTACTATGGGAAGATTTCCTATTGACCATGTGCTTTGTCTGTGCTCTCTGTTCCCCTCTGCTGCAGCAGTATCTGCTCTCTCTTTTGCTGAATCTGTTTGGTCCTGAGGGGCGCTGGATGGTAGAGGTCACCCCGAGACGAGCTGCGTAAAAATGTAGGAATCAGCAGTCCACCTCTGCTGCAGAGGAGCCGGCCAATCCAACTAAATCCCACAATTTATCACACTGGCAAGTCAAACAACTGATCCTAACAGCATAACTATTTTATATATTTTCATATAGGATGAAGTGCTGATTTAGTTGTTACTGAGTGGGTTGAGGCTAAACCACTGAGGTAATTGATTTGCCCCTGTTTTTTTTGTGACAGTTGTGGATGTGTAGGCTTTGGATTTGGATGGATTATATATTTTAAGGCATGTATTTGGCATATTCTGGCTATATAATGTTGTCTTTTTCATCGCTGACACAGAAACTTGCATATAGAATTTATTTGATGGTTAGCTTTGCCAATAACACCTCATAATATATAGTTGCCTGCTTTTGGGAATGAGAGTTTTTCATGTTTAACAGTTCCTAAATCTAAAAATCACCCCTCCCCCACATCATTTTGGCTAAGAGTGTGTTTCCCCCTAGTAAACATCATATTTACTCAGTCACTGTAGACAAACGCTACACAGCAGAGCTTCAAAAGGGAGCACAGACAATGAAAATATCAAGAAATCTGGACTCACAAATAGATTGTGGAGAGCTGTTCTGTTGTCATGTGGATTCACAACCATAAAATCACCCTCAGTCACCTGCTTCTCTTGACACCAGCTTATTAACATAAGGCCGTACTATAAATTAATCCTAAAGCAGACTGTACTACCCTGTCATCACAACAGATTGAATTGCACTACATCTGTGCATTAATTCAGTGTCATTCATTTACCAAAACTGAGGAGAGGATCTGTGATCAATAATAATTTATCTATATTTTTCATGCCCACTCCTCCATCTTTCACTTTGCTGAATTAAAGCTGTGTCCAGAGCGGTGTAGCTCCCCTTTCAGCTCCTCTAAGAGCTCTCCTGAGATGACGATGAAAGGACTTGTCTAATGGGATTACACATCACGATAAGTGCTCAGAGACTAGTGGTTCATCACACCTCCCACCTGCATTTCAAAGAGTGGCACTGAGCTGCTGTGCTGTAGCATATATCGGATATAGAGTTTTGGGGAGATGATTTATCGGCAGGGGTGTGTTTTGCTCGACTATTTACTTGTATCACTTATTTTCTTTGCAACTGCTGAATGTGCTTGTGTCCTCGTGTTTTATTTTAAAGGAAAAAATCCACTTGGATGAAATTTCCATTAGGTCTTTGGTGAAATTGCTGCCCAGGTTTTGATTTGTGAATTAGACCAAATCCCCCTTAAACCCGAGCAGCCGCAGGGAAGATGGAAATGATGATGTCATGAGATAAATCCTGGAACGGCTCAATAAGCGGTGAGTAATGTAGCAGCCCATAGTAAACTACTATAAGAGCACACATGGTGATTTCTCTAAAAAAAAACAAGGACATTTTCTGAGTAACATCTGGAAGCCCTACATCCTAATGACATTCTTTGTTAATGTTATACTTAAATAGTTTATCCTCTTCAGTTTATCACATTAATTATGTCATGATTGGGTTCATTGCCCCTAATTCATCTTTCTTTTACAGTTTTAATCATTAAACTAATAAAGATAAAATAACTGAAATGAAATGTTGCCAAAAAGTGAAAGAAAGGAACAAAGTGTACCTCAGGAGCCCACTTAAATTAATCCATCAAGATGTGCACTTCTATACATACTGTATGGCCACACTGATAGTAGTTAAATGACCATATATATATGTATATATTGTATACATCCACTAATCTACATGCACCGTTACACACAGATCTTCTCAATTGCCTCCTTGATTTGAATTTACGTAGCACAGCCATTTAGCCCATCTTGTTTCAATGCTGATTTTTTTCCCCCCAATGCTTTTTATATGTCTCTACTGGTTTGTTCTCTAGTTGTTCTTTCCATTTGTCTGCATTTAGGCTTACGTTTTGTCTCAATTTCTTGTAAAGATTTATCAAGGAGTTATTCAGTATTATTATTACTGATACGACTGCAATCAATCATATATTAATCAGTATTCTAAGTAAATAATTATACTTTTTGTCCATTATTTCAGGTGGCATTATACCTAATCAAATAAATGAATTCTGGGCTCATAGAGATTTTCATGTTTTGCTTCAACTACCCAGTCAAATAGAAGTAATTTAAAGTTGATGTCTTTTTTTTATAGTTTTTATAGCAGTTATCGGTGAAAAACATTAGAAAACAATAAACACATTACGTCTTTATAGGTCACCGTTTCTTCACATTTTCTTTTCCCTGCCTACCCTACCACCCAGCCCAACTGATGAACAACAACAACACACATCACAGAAAAAAAGGTTAAAATAAAGTAGAGAAAGAAGTGAAATGGGAAGACAGTGATTACTAATGAAAATCATAATAATCATAATACTAACAATGGGGTACATAAGTAGATGACTAGAAGAAAAAGTGGAAAGAAAAAAAAAACAAATGGTAAAATAAATATGGAAAAATGCAATATTTCTAATAGGCCACATAACCAGTATCTAATTAATTTGCAGCAACCCCAGAAAGTTTCATCTTATATATAATTAAGCCAAGTCATGATGCTCTGATTTTGTCACAGGAAGATTGCAATGTTAGTTATGTTTTAGGGTCAGTTTAACCTTGACACAGTTAAGATGGTGCACGCCCTCTAGCGCACCTGGTAAGAGTGTGTCGCCCATATAGGCTGAGACCCTTACAGCAGCCTGGGTTCAAATCTGACCCGTGATCCTTTGCTGTGTGTCATCCCTCCTACCTCACACCTTTCTTGTCAATCTACAAAGGCAAAAATGCAAAAAAGAAAAAAAAATCTTCAAAAAAAAAAACCAAAACAAAACAGGATGAGTAATGTGCTAATGTCATCAGAGGTGAGGTTTGCTGCAGCTAATTCTGTCCTCTTTTCTTCCCTTGTTGTATCTCTCTCGTGCTGACAAACACTTTCTTTCCCACACTCACAAACGCAACACACATCTTAGTGGCAGCAGTTGGCATGAGAAGATAACTGGCACGCTATTGGTCCTAATGTCTCTGTGAGAAGGAAGAGCCATCCCTTGTGATTGGACAGCAGGTGGCAGTGCTTGCAGACCCAGGAAGCTGTCTTGTCTGCAGAAGTAAAAGGCATACTGTATGTGATTGCTCACATACACACATACAGTATGCACTTACATCATCATCAGGGGAGGAGCTTCTATCAGAGTGAGGATTGCAGACTGCCACTGCAACAGGGATGACTTAATAAGAGAAACACAGCAACATGGACATGCTTCAGCCTTGACAGCCTGCAGTCAGTGTGAAAGCACAGAACTACTGCAGTCCTATCTGAGCCCTGATCGCAGCATGACAGCCCTGCCAGGGTGACGCACTGGAGTTGGGACGTGACTTTGGTGACCTCAGGACAGCATCATAGCATCATGGCATCACCCAGGCACTACGGACACCCTGCTCGGGATATTGCCAATGTGATGCAGAAGCTGCAAGGTAGGTGTAAAATGCTTACTCACTCACACTGCTCCACCTCGTTTGCAGCGTTTTTAGAGGTGACCTAGTGCTTGGCATGACACAGCAGAACAGTATGAGCTAGATACACTTACAATTACTATAAAAATGTCCTACATGCACCTTATCTTTTCTGACCCTGTGAAGTCTGGAGGTTTGTTGTTCTAGTTTATATGGCTTATAAATGTTTGGTATGGGAAGGACATACCTCAATTAGATATGCACTATCACGGCATGCAGTACTCAAGTACATTGGACATTTTTAGGTTATTATCACTAATGTTCTGTCTAACATTCAGATGCCATCAGTGTGTTAGTTTCCCTTAGTTTTGGAGTTTTTTCCTCATGATAAGAGAATGGAGACAGATGTGTGCAGCTGCTAGTCTGTGCGTAGAATTATGCAATAAGGCAGATTCAATGCCATAAAATTATGTTTTTTTTGGGGGGGGTGGTGTAAGTAAACCTGTGTGTGTCAGATTATTGCATTGTTCTTGTATGAATTTACTGTCTGTGTTTATGAGTGCACATGCTGGCTGTGTGTTTGCTGTGTGTGTATGCTTGCACGTGCACACGTACAGTGCAGTATGTGCATAGATAGACTGGGAAGCAGACAATAGGAAAGCTAATCCCCAGAGAAGCTGACAGGATGAAGTCTGTTCCATGTGGACACTCATGTCCTCAGCCTACTGTACATATAGCTCCCTGTGGAAATAACACTGGCATTAATTACAGCCATATGTTTATTCTTTTTAACCTTTAGCACATTAAAAAGAACAATTCTGGCTTCCTTATCTTATCTTACCTCTCCTCTAACTTTCCCTTCATTTGTGCACTGTATTTGCAGCAGATATCAACATTTATTTAGTCTTTTCCCCTTCCTAGAAGTCAAATAATGTGGGTGTAGCTTTTCTGCACTGTAATTGCTCCACAAGCGTCCACTGTAAAACACTCTATCTCTGTGTGGCAAAGTCACACATCCCTCCCTTTACTGAAAGGATCAGATTGATGACACTTGCAAAGCAGCAGGACAGTCAGGTGACACCAGAGCTGAAATCCAATATGGCTGCTCCCTGTGTGGCTTCTGAGGTGGCAGTTTCTGTGAAAGCTGAGAACAGCATCAGCAGCCACGTGGCTCCTCTGCATCACTGTGGGCAGGTGTGGGTGCACTCTTTGAATCCCGATTGTACTCCCATTGATCTAATTTTAGAAGCTTCCCCTTGAGATGTCTCTCCAGTGCAATGACAGATAGATGAATTAATACATATTTGGAGAGAATCAGATAATGTATTACATTGCAGTGGGTGTAAAATTGTTTCATCAACTCACTAGTCTAAAACATCATCTCTGTTTTTTGTAACTGTATAATATTCTATTTACACAGAAAATGTCATTTTCGATATCTTTGCTAACTGACAAGGTCTAACTATAGACAATATGTTGCCATAAGGGAGTCCATTGCTTTTAGATATGTCCAGGTGTCTCATTTAAAGGAATACTTCACCCTCAGAATGATCATTTTTCTGTGCTGTATTTAATTTGTGAACAAAACTTTGTTTTTCCCACGTGTCCACGGTGAATGAAAAATTCCAAAACAAAGAAGATTCTAATTGAATTTGAGTAGAAGGGGACCGCATTTGTCAACAGCAATACTATATCAAAGTCTCATTTATTCAGTCGTATGCTCAGTACTTCCCAAACATGCATTTTTTTAAAAAAAAAAAAAAACAAACTTATAAAACTGAACTGAAAGTGAAACATATTTATGCTCTCTTTAAAGCCAGACTTTATTGACAAAAACTGCAATTTTACCCTACTGAACACAGGAACAGCTGGTCTATCAATTGTTAGTTAGTTAGTGTTATTGTGCAACTTTGGTGTAGTAAAAGGTTTGTTCAAAGTCAGAAAAGTCCCTCAGTAACACAAAGAAACTACTGATGAAGACAGTGGTAGATGAACAGCTCCTGTGGTCAGAAAGGTAAAATTACTGTTTTTATCAGTGGAGTCTGGCTTTGAAGATAGCACAGATTCGTTTCACTGCCAGTACAGTTCCTGGTTGGAAATTTATGTCTGTTTGGGAAGTACTGAGCAAACGACTGTATAAATGAGACTTGGATTATACTGCACAAGTTGTGTTTTGATATAGTTTTGCTGTTGTTAAACGCTGCCCCCTTAAACTAAAGTTTATCGAGTATATTTTCAGTTTTTGGATACATCAGGGAGGCGTGCAAGAAAAACAAAGGTTCCTTCACAAATTCATCAAAACACCGGGTAAGCAATTGATATACAAATGATCATTCTGTTGGTAAAAAAATGCTTTATGTAACACTACAAGGCAGAAAATGAAATGAGTTGTAAATAATGCAGCCTTGTCCCAAGTGTGGCTTGTTCCTAGAATACTCATATGATTTGGTCCTGTAGGTTGGGGGTGTGTCTACATTATCTAATTACACCAAACTGTCTTCTACCAACAGTTGCTTTACTGTTGATGCCTTGTGGCATGTAAGCATTTCAGATAAGATGGGTCTTGTTGCCGTGGTTATCCTTACAGACGAATGGTCTTAAGGTTTGTGGGAACAATAGTGCCTTAACATAGCCACAGAGACACAGACACTGTGAATGGCTACATGGAGTGTCTTCTGCTTGTAGCCTTGGTGGCCTGTGGTTTTAATAGATTTCCTTGGACATCAGCTACATTTTCTTTTTCTCTCACAGATAACTCTTACTGCTATATATGTTCTCCTCTGAGTACATGATCACATTAGCTTATTTACAGGGGGGCCAGCACAATCTAATTTGTCGTGACATTTTATTTGATGTGTTCTGGTTGGCATCCATCTCCTGGGAGACGAGAGCTGAACCTGTGATGATATCATCAAGACGTTTTGGAAAAATCAAAGAGGAACACTTATGTTTTTTTTATTAGTCTGAACATAAAACAGCTCGTAGCATAAAGAGAACATACCATAACCTAAGCATGTGTACTTTGGTGTCATGCAGTGTTTCTATAGAAAGTCACGAGCTTGGTCCCAAATGACAGCTTTAAATGAAATCAATGTCGCCTTTGTTCAGGGTGGCTTGCTTTTCATTTCTCAAGGTTGCAGTAATCTTGTCTCTCCAGCGGGATAAGTGTTCAGAAATTTGCTATATTGATGTGTTACTTTCACATGTTATGGGGGAATCTTGATTGCAGTCGTATTTCATGCCACCTGAGAGTTAAATATAGGTAATCTAATGCCATTTGTGTGTATTTTAAAGCCTGATTAGATTAACATAGTTCTCATTTTCTCAAGAGAGGACAATGTTCCCAAATTAGCCACGTTTCACAAATTACCAGATACCATGAAATAAACTATACTCCACTCAGGCTCAATTTGGAAGCTGTTAGTAACCACTCAGTGCAACATCAAAACAATCAAAACTTTTGCCCCAGTTTTGGGTCTGTGTTTTTCTCCTTTCAACCATCTCTTTTGGTGTACCTCTCTGTCGCAGTGAAAAAACAGCAATTAGTGACACCATATGGCAGAGAACGGCGAGTCCGCTTTGAACACCTCCCAGCCTGAACTCCTCCATATGCTGTGGAATTTGCCTTGTTTGTTGTCTCTCATTAATGAGAAAAGCGATGCACTGTTTTTCCCATTTCAATTTCTCACCTGTTTTCTCCGTCATGGGCAGCAGAGGCGTGCATTCCCGCCTACGCCTCTGGGTTTTACCGTCTGCCGGCCTATCAGGTGGACACGTTTGCTAGGTCTCATTGTGTTGGGAGCACCTGGTTGAGTTTTCTATGTGTAGGCTGTGTCTAATCCTTTACTGGCAATTTGCTTGTGATCAGATAATACAGAAGTCCACTGCTGCAGATTGAATTTCTCAGTCTTTGCTGAGCAGAGTGATTGCATTTAAGGAAATTCTGCAGTGTGGTCCAGCACCTGATGACATTTTAGTCAAGGAGGATGCTCAGCAGAAAGGTGAAAAAGAGGGTAAAGGCAAAGGCAATAGAGGTCAGCACGTCTGGAAGACATGAGCCACACTGAGCGCATTAGATGGATGGAAAAGGGATGAGAGAGAAAAACAAGAAAATGAGACTGGACAAGCAGAGGGGAGCGAGAGAGAGCCCACACACCAATTTTTAAGCTCCTGATTGCTGGTGGGACTGGCACAGATCCTCAGGTTGGCACAGGGCCAGGGTGACATCCTGTTGCCAGGGGCGACATTATGGTTCGGCTGCAGCCAAGGAAGGACCAAGCAGACGGTCACCTTGAGCCATGCCAGCCTCCTGTTTAGTTCTGACACCACCATTTATCGTCTGCGGCTCTGGATACCACAGCTTTTCACACACACACACACACACACACACACACACACACGGCCCACGCTCACACATAGACACCGAAACAAACACTCTGTGTTAAAAATAGCTGCGATGCATCTTTTCCCCCCATATCACACCACTGGGAGTCAGCAGTTTAGCTGAGTGGTTAAACAGACACAGAGCGAGTCTTCAAGGCTGCTCAACATGAAGCCATTACTCTGTTGTGTTGTAGCCTCAGAGTGTGTGATAGAGCTGCAGCATGAGTTGTTATATATTCTGCTGCTTCTTCGCCTTGTCTTTTCAGATTGTGTTTATGACTCGTTGCCATAGCGGCAGTCGCATGACAGCGAGCCCAGCTTTTTTTATTTATTTTTTTTCGCCTCTGGGCTTATTGGCCATGTCTTGTTCAGCTTCTGCTTCTGTTACAGGACATTATGTTTGATAAAATGGTGTGTGTGTGTGTGTGTGTGTGTGTGTGTGTGTGTGTCTGTATCCTAAGAGATGTTTAACTCCATGCTAGTTTCTCAGTGACAGCTTCTATGGCAGATCGGATTATAATCTATTTTAACCTGACAGTCAGTGAGGGTTTGAGTGACATATCACAAGATAAGGTCACTGAGGGTCCCACCCATACAATAAAGAGGGTCAGCCCCCTTCATCTCATCTCACCTTCATG